AGTTGGAAAATGTATAATGGTATAAAATTAAACTAATGAGTATTTGTACCTAAAGTGTTATATTTTGGAACAAATAACGAAGCAAATAACTATAGCAGAATTTAATATTTCATTAGAGATAATTTATAATGTAAAAAACATTTTACCCAGATAAAACCACTATCCTCAAACAATCGATTCCAAACCGATACAAAACTTTACCATGTGTGTGGGTTTGACACCATGTTGCAAGCCAGTAGAAACTGCATCACAACTTTTATTAAAATTCAAAATAAGTACATTTGAACTCGAAAATAAAAGAGTTTCGTTTGTTCCATCCAAAAGTTATAACACAATAATGAGTTGTCCAACTTTTACGAGTTGGGAGGATAAAGAAATGATTAAAATTTCTCATTGTCAGAAGTTATCTCAACGTCACAAGCCTTGACATCTCTTGCTAAATAATTAATGCTCAATGGTGGTGCGCTATCAAGGCTTAAAATAGCATTTGCAATGTGAAGGGACCTATAAAAAGTATATTCAAGGACGAAGTTAATTTGAAGAAAGTTCAGTAATCGCATTTTTTAAATGATTTGTTGAATGGCAAAATTGAACTCAATACTCTAATTCAGAAACAGATTTTCACCAGTTGTGGGATCACCCCGATGCCACCAATTCATAAAGCTGATTTTAACATTATTAAATAATGTAAATAATATATATTTTAATATAAACCATGATATATATATATATATATATATATATTATAAATTACCTAAAATTTTTTTCAAAGATATGATTATTTCATTTCAGATAATATTACCATTTTAAAATACGATTAGAATGTACTTGGTTACACCATTCTACTTGCCATGTTATAAGCTATAATGAATAAATGTCTCTCAAAAATTTTGTATTAAATTGAAGTTTATTTTGGATCTGCCTTTAGGCTGAGCAATTTAGTCTGAATAAACTTTTCAATGAAATTTCAATTGAGAATATAATTTACCCGAATTCAAATATGAAATGAAAATGGATATAAAAAATAAACTTCGAAACCGTCAAATGAAATAATTTTATTCGGTAATTCCTTTTGTAAGTTCAATAACCAAAAGACAAAATTAAAGTGTAAATCAGTTCAAAATATACATATTTAAATTTAGTAGAAGCACACAGGTCAACCTAAAATAGCGACTAGTGAAATATATGTATTCGACAATACAAAATTTATTCATGTATCAGATATAATAATATGGAATTGTTAAGGGAATATAATATGAATTATTGAAACTTGATTGAACTGTATTGGATGAATAATATCCCTTCAATAATTTGAAATATTAGTGTAATCAATAAATTTTATACGTTTCTGGATGCTGACCATGTTGACATTTTAAGTAGCCTAATTTTTTTTTAACTTAAAATGTAAATTGTTTCCAAATTTACTACTTTTCTTTATGTTCCAAACTTACTAAGAACTACATGTAAAGATAAAGGCCGTTCAAGTATTACGTAGGCACTATAGGGGGGGCGGGGGGTTTGTTGATTTGCTTATTTTGGGTTGACATGGGGGCAGGGGAGTCTGGATGATGATTTGATCATAGGTAGTATTTTTATTTTTTTACATTAATTGCAAAATGTTCACGAAAGCATCGGGGTAGGGGGTAAGAGCTTTGCTTACTTTTGCTGACAAGGGAGATGGGGGGGCGGGTAAATAATTGTAATAAATCTGCTTACGTAATACTTGAACGATCCCATATTTACGATTAAGAATAAGACGATTAAGAAATAAACCATAAACACATTTGAAAATTCAACTGAACAACAAGTAGAAAACTGATATACTTGATTTTGCATTTTTCTCCTCAGTCCTACATAACTACGAGTTGTAGTTATTTCCTATAAACACAATATCAAATCTAGGTTTTGAATTAAACATCAGCCTGACAATTATTTTAATCATTTGCTAAATAATTAATTACAAATGTAAGTGCAAAACAAGCTTTTGATGTGTTTGTCGAACATCAGGAGAATTGCACGTTAGCAGTTCTGTTCTCCAATTTCTCTCTAACGTGTATTTCACGCTCTATAATTTTCTTACTTAATTTAATTGGTGAACGCATGTGACAACATGAGCTAAATAAAAATTTAATTATTTTAATTTTCAAACAAGACATTTGGCATGAATTACTGATAATTAGTTGTGTACTGTCTTTGAACATGCATATAGAAAAATCGTGGTTGAGTTATTAAAAAGAGGAACAAAAATTAATTTACAACTCACCAAGTATCAAAATTAATAGAAAGTTACACAAAAAGTAATCACGAATTTTTGCTTTGTGCTATTTAGGTTACTTAAGTTGTAGTAATTATTCGGATAATTGACAAAGAACATATAAAATTAGGTTTTACTTACATATTTATTCCCTTTAAATAGAGTACTATTAGGAAGGACATAGAAGGTATGATTTCTTTAGTTCCAGAGTTCCGCTTTATATTACATATTTAAATCGTTGTCTAATTGATATATTAAACTATATTACCTCATGTTTTATTAAGTAAAATAAATAAATAAAGTACATATTTTTTCTTTGTCCAATCAACATTTTATTAATTATTTTATTATACCGAATCGAATATATAATCACAAGAGCGTTGGAACACAAAGGTTTCCACTGCGCAAGGCCAATGTCAAAAAACATGGTGTAATTACCACAAAAAATTCTTAATATCAATGTGCCTCAACTGCACAAGTATTCGTAGTTCCGTTTATAACACAATATGTATTGTATTTTATTAAAATGTGTTTGTAATGTGATTTCGTCATTATTACACGCTCGATGACGATAACTCATATAGCAATTGATGCTGTAAGTTGCTGAGAACGATGGAAAATTGTATAGGAAATTCAATTTTATGTGTAATAATAGATTTAGTATAGTCAGCTAGTTCATTCTAGAACACCTTTGTTGTAATATATACTCTTTTAATAATAAAATTCTTTCCTGTGATGATATTTCTCAGACGCTTATATAAATCAATATTCTGATAGATAGATAAATCAAATATATGATATTGAGATACTTAGATATAAATTGAAATACGTTTTATTCGATTTATTTAATTTCTAAAAGTTATTTAGTTTTATTTATTTATTGTGTTTGATTATTTATTTAGATAAATTGATAATTCTGGTTTGCTTTTTAACCAAAATTTCAGGTATTAAATGTGTATCACGCAAACCTGGTTCAAACTGATAATAGGATTAGTTCATGCAAATCAAGTATTTAAAATTTCTCATTTATTTCGGACTATCGAAACCGTTTTTAACCCCCCTATGGTAAATTAACGATTTAAGGCCAAAAATGATAGTGCTCTATGAAGTACAAACGGAAATATGATACATATTATTTACCAACAATAAACTGTTTATACCGATTGCATAATATTGTGAATTACTACTGAGCATTTATAATAATTATATGTTCTCATATATGAGATGAGATGCACGTGTACGATCGTATGACATCCTTCCTATAAAACGTTTGAAAATGGTATAATAATATTATTGCATCCATTTATGACGAACTTAATACGTAGATATATTTTTATCCAAATCAAAATTTAAGCTGTAAATGGATATTGAAAGTATTACTGTTATTGTAAATTAAAGTTGAGGTTATTAGACACAGGACACAGGTCTAATTTGACTTTGAACAATTATATTGTTAAAATAACACATATCAAACAAACAACTATTTGACTATGTTTAGTAAAACTTTCTGCTAATTCATCATTGTAAAATGTTTCTTGCTGTTTTTCCAAAATGTGTAATCTAGTTCTTTTTACCCTATAGGCGAGATAAAATGTGATAACCAGGGGGCAAAAATTTAAAGACTTTTAAATATAGTATTCCCGCATACTAAGGAAAATCCGTCCTAATTATTTTCAATCAATAATAAATTATTTCCTTGAACCACAAAGTAATATCCGCAGACATGAAATTAATGAGAAAATGGTCCTTTATCAAGCCTAATCTGGTAATGAGTTTATCTTTTGACCGAGTAAACAATTAAAACTTCGACGCCGGTTCCCGTTGTAACATTGATCAAAAACACAAAACAGAGGAAAAGTGTGGTAATGGAAATTGGTAAAGAATTATTTTTTTATTTTTGTTATTTTTGGCAGGAATAAGAATACAATATCCTATGTAAAAGTAATAAATAATAATAAATTATAAATTCAGGTAAATGTGGATAGAAGGAATAAGGTACTCTAGTAAACATGATTCTGGAGAGTGAAAAATATAACAAATTTTAAATTTGATATATTAATAGTAATAAGAAAAGCTGTAAAGTAATATATGAATTTTTATCTAGATCAAAAATCGTCTGATAATTTGTTGTGCATCATTTTTGACCGCCAAATTGAATTTTTCAACTTCTTTCATTAGATCTCGAAAACAGCTAATCCTGCCTTCCCAAAAATTTAAACAGTTATTCATTTCGTTAATACAAATAAAATGTTTTTTAAATAATTCAAATCTGATGCTCTGTTCTAGCAAAAATCGAAATAATATTTTTGGCACTTTTTGCTCCGTATCTTCGAAATCACGTCTCCATGTCAATAGGAATCAATTGTTTTTGAATCATTCAAATTTGTTGTTCCGTGTTTTTCAAAATCGTTGAGAAATAATTGTATACGCTTATACATACATACACAAAGACACATACATCAATTTTTTACAAGGTTTTTCAAAATATTCAAAAGGTTTTAAAACGCCAATATATATATAAAAGTTTTCATTTTAGATTTTTTGCTATTACTATAACTTATGAAACATTATCCTATAAGCTATAGGGTTCAATTCAATCACTCACCCTTATAAACACATGGAATTATTGTGCAAAATTTTAATTTATCAATAGTTGTCCCTCTGAAAAGTGATTCGCGAATTCAGCTTCAAATTGTCTTTTTGAAAAAAAGAGTTCTTAATGGAAAATGGAAAATGGGAAACTCACCTATATATTAGGTAGGAACACATGTCGTCAGTTGAACAATGGAAGCCCAGATCAAACAATCCCAGAGCACTTTATCTTGAACTGGATCTTATGTTATCACAGAACGTGCTTTGTGAACACTGTTTTAGCAATAAACAAACGAAACGTTTCCCAATACACTTATGTTCATAAAAAACTATTTCATGAACCTCACAACATCACTTTGAAGAAAAATTCATATGACGCACTATTTTCAGAGTATAAATATCAAACATATATGTTGACATCTGTCAACGACACTTCTGATTAACGATTAGCTTCGTTGAAAAGCGTTAGGTGTCAAAAAAAAACCACTAGTGATGAAAAATCATTTCACATGTGTGTGAAAATCTGTGACAGATTATCTCGGACGTCCTACCTCGGCGGCGTACAATCGCTTACTGATTTGCTCCGTGAAAGTAGTTCAGAGCGTGTGTTTGTTTCCTATGCGAGCGCTACCGTCGGCTCGGCGCATGCTAACCGTGAATATACAAAGTCTCTTTGTATTTTGTATTTTGTAGTCTGTATTTTGTATTATATGCGCAATGCGATTACATACTTTACTTCTCATTTCGCGATAGATAAAAGATATTCAACAGAAAAGTGTTTCGGAAGTTACGGCTATTGCTTTTTAAAGTACATTCTGTATCTGTTAAAATCACCTAGAGTGCTAATGTCCACCGACTTTAACTCATTGTCAGTTGATAAAGATACCAATATTCACGGTACATCACCAAAACAATTATCTACCATCTGCAGAATCTTGATGTTTCTTCGCGAATATGTTATTTTCATCATATATAACTCAGTTTTGCCGTTAATAATTAGATAGTATTTTATTTTACGTTATGTATTGTTATAAAATTATGTTATTGATATAATTGTATTATTATATGATATATTATCAAAATTAAGTCCTCCTGCAGCTAGGGCTAGAAAATAAATGAATCAATAAATAAATAAAGCGTAAAAAATTTACCCCACCGCTGCCTCCAAATGAAGAGATATTAACAAATAGATTTCTTCTAACACTTATTTTTAGATAGTTTTATATAAATGTTGGATCTGGTACTTATTATACTTTAATTTAGCTTCTTAATACTTTACTAGCTGACCCGGCAAACGTTGTTTTGCCACAAAAAATATTTACAGTATGAAATGTTTACTATAAAAATATCTAACTGATTGCAAATGTGGTGTATAAGTAAGAGGATAACAGTTAACAATAAATATATGAATAATTTACACAGTGCAAAGCACGCCACATATAAATATTCTTAGGTCATATTACTAATCCTTGCAAGTGCCAACCTATACTGAAATTGATTATATTTAAATTGACTTGGCACAGATAATAAATAGTTTTTTGGTGTAAAAAGATATTATTAGTATTTTTCAATTTCAAATTATAGAAAATTAAAATTAAAAAAATTGGTACTAAAAATTGAAAAAATTAAAAATATAAATTATAGTGTGAAAATCAAAACAACTACATCACAACAAGAAACACATATCACACTAACAAATATTTAGCTATGCTCAGTAAAACTCCCAGCTAATTCATCATGGTGAAATAAGCTTGCATTTGCTATTTTTCAAAAAATATTTACCTAGTATTTTTATCTCTATAGGCGCGGTAAGAAAGGACAGTCTCTCTAGAGCTCCTAGAAAGACAACTTCTGGAAATTCATTTGGAGAATCTTAAAAAGAAGTGATGAATGATGATAATGATAAGAATATTATAAGAATATAATTAATATTATTATTATTATTTTAATAATATATACATGTGCCCTTTTATTATTTTATAATATAATATATATTTCCAACTTTTTCCTTACCGAGAAAATTCGAATTCTCATGTTTCAGCAAATGTGTGCCACGCGTGTACGTTTCGCTTTAGAGTCTCGAGAGAGATCTTAATGGTCGTTCTTTTCTTAATTTAACGTCAATTCGATAATTCGCCAAGAGAGATTTTCTTTTTCCTCCAGAACAATCGAACTCGGAAATATAAACGACGTGAAATGAAAATAGCATTGCAAAATGGTAACAAATATTTATAGAAAGATTACACAATAATTTTCAAATTTTTTTCATGGTAGTTAAGATCAATACTATCACTAAGTTTTGGCTTGACGTTGAGTTCTGGGACATTTTGTATATATATATATATATATATATATATATATATATATATTATGTTGCTTTACAGAAGCTGACATAGTTGCATCCTCCATGTACCTTTGTAGAATAAATGCAAATGCATCCCAGTAGTAGCAAAGCTAACGTTTTATTTATTTACCATGATGGCAGCGCATCCCACGCTGGCATAAATAAATAGTTTTCGAATTGAATTTGTTTGTAGCTCGGATAAATAGACACGTGAATTTATTTCTTTATTCGAAAAACTAATTTGCACATCTGACAGTTTGTTTTGTCAAGAATTTCGAGACACTGGTAATAGAAAGTTGAAAATATAATAGAGAAGCCACTTTAGTTAAAAAAAAATAAGGTTGTTTTATAATATTATATATATACATACGTATTTACTTAACTTTATGTATTTCAAACAAGGACCTTGTTGACCCAATATTAAGTGTTATCCCAAAATATTGATCGATTTCGTATGTCTTTATATCCAAGATGAAACATGGGTCTATAGGCACTCCAAATGGGTATAGAATATGAGAATTTCCCTAGTGTATGTTTACACAGAACGTGGGCAAGGTTTTTTCAGCCCTTAAGTGAACAATTGTCCCGCAGACGGATGCGAATTTCGGAACTACATATGGATAGTTCAATTTCCTTCGTGAAATTGACTCGAATCAATCCGCGAGCGATTTCATTATGCGATACATTTGATGGAGTTGGGAATGCAGAGCTAACATATAATATTACGACGAATACACAAGTAAAAAATAACACATACATTTTATATATATTTTATTAATAATAAATAGTAGTCTGCCAGAAGGCAGGTCCATGGTATGAGAGCACCACAAAATCAAGTATTTTCTTGGTCAAACTGTTTGGACGAGTATTGCCACTAACTTCATAACACTAGAGTATATATTCAAGGTTTTGCAATTTACAATTTTAAAATCACTAGAAAAAATAATGATTACCAAGAAAGCAGCTATCAATAGATGTTCGTGGAAATGGGTGAGATTCGCACGAACGTCCAGAATTGATTAGCAATCTATTCCAATAGAGCTGATATCGCGTGGATTCTAACGAGATATATTTGTATGTGTTGTGTAATACTCGTAGAAAAGCAAACAACAGTATCCCACACGACTGCACATGTAATTGAAAAACGAATAAGTAAAATAAAAAACACGAAGATGTATTGATCATGTTTCTATACAAAAAGGATATGTTTGAAACAGTTTGTAAAAACTACTGATTTACAACGAATTTTTTCCTCTCCTGGATGCGTTATTATCAAGACAAAACGCCATTAAGGGGGTGAGTAAGCAATTTAGTACCTACAACATAAAACATAAAAATTTTACCCTTGTACACAAGAGCGGTTGCCCTGGGGCATTGCACTTATAAAGACCAAAGTTATTCAAGCTAACACCTACCGAAGCAAAAGCTCGGCGGTGAGGTACTTGACGAGCTTTGGGGCACGAAAATTGTGCGAAAAAGCTAGGAAAAATAGAATACTACTAAATTTTAACTATTCGGTAATTGATAATTTTGTAGTCATTTAGATAGCCGTTATTCTTTAATGACTCACCTTTTCTATTCATTATTTAACATCTTTCATATTATTACTAAGTTTTTTACTCATTATTTAACTTCTTTCAGTATTAAATGAAAATATATAGGTATATATATACTTGTACATAAATATACATGTAAGTTGAGATTTTTTATAAAGATTAGTAGAGCCTTTTCTTTGTAACTATTTGTTGAAACAATTTCTTTGACCATTTTAATGAAACTTTATATTATAATTTGGTTTTTGGTTTAAAAGGAGTTTTTGCGTATTTAGTCTCAGTTAAGATAGATTTTGCTTCGCCTGTTCAATCATCTCTCGATAAGGACAAGAAATACATGTCCCAACCGTACTCATAAAATTTGTCACAACCGTACCCAACGCACACTATTTGATCATCGTTATGATTGATTGTGAGCTAAATCATCCAAATGAATACTAATTGTTGGAAATTAATTTCTAATGTTCAACTTATAGCAAAATAACAAACAAATATGACTTAATTTAACTGAATTAAGCAAACACTATATGTATCGATGCTAGAGCTTCCAACGTGGGCTTAAGCGATCTACTTGTGGGTTTGAAACCCATTGTCATAGTTTTGATTTAGAATTGAATAGCCTCAGTAATATCGTACAACACGAATCTTGGTTTGCATTCACACTATATGAATGCGACAATCATAACACTAAGCTCGCTGTGTATATATTAGTGGTTTTGGCTTATAATCGCATTCCGTACATGATTCAAGTTCGCATTGTGCCTTCTGTTTAAATCCAGTACAGATATTGCCATGCACTGGACATGGGGTAAGCTCTGAGGAATTTTGATACTGGATTTATTAGTCAGGAAATTAAACTAAATATAAGACTGAATCATTAAATGAAAAAATGCCACTAGAAAGCAAAATACCATGTCATTTTGTACGTACTTCCCTTGTTACTGAAGTCCCAGCAAGTACTTATAAATGAAAATATTAATCAAGCATATTCAAATCGTTAAATATATTTTGTATTACTTCGACTTCACATCGGATTTTCATCTGAATCCATTTACAATTCCACAGAGTCCAATCTCCATTACACACATAGGAACATTTGCGCAATTACGGCAGCGAACGATGTTTGCAGCAAACAAGCGCCACTTTAACAGCAAAGGCACCCTGACACAAGGAAATAAATCTAGTCGTATTGTTGACCAGTGGTAGTTGTTCCATCAATATCGATTAGTTGTTGCCCCAAAATATTAATATATCATTTACATGTTCATTCATCGTGTCGAATTCATACGGAACCGTTTGTAAACGCAATAATAGCGGGCTTGTTGAGTTATAATAACACGAAACCGATATATCAAACATTAAACAAAGCCAACTATTTGGAAGGAGGACACATTTGATATTGTGTAGGATACGTAGGAGATTGAAGGTTTGCGGGTAAAAAGGTCCACCACCGATATCTCAAAAGCAAA